GGCCCCGCTTTGCCACTTCCTCTGACCGGCAGCCGCCCCATTTCTGTGAGGACAGCGACGCTCCCCGAGGCAGCGTTTCTCAACCCGTGGTTCGTGGCTAGGGCGGCCATCGTAGAGGACAGTCCAGTTGCCCTCCGCCTTGTCTCTTCCTCTTGGAAGAGAAAAATAGAGGGCGTCAGGTGTCGTGCTGATACAGAACGGAGTAGCAGAAAATAGGGATGTCCTTTATGATGGCCACCCTAGCCGTGTCCCTAAAGTGGGTCGCAAGAACATATGAAAGGGGCACAGACGGGCTTTACAAATGGGCTTGTCTGTGACGGAGGAAAACCTGGAAAGCCAGGGCTTTTCCCTTGCAGGCTGGCAGAGGTCCGGCCTGCCAGGGGCTGCTTGGGGCCCCCCATGCCCTCCACAACTGTGGGGTAGGTGAGGCACTGGGTCGGAACTGGCCTTCATTGTTTACAAATGGGTCCTGGAACAAAAAAGGTTGAGAAACGCTGCTCTGAGGCCAGTAACTCTATGGCGGGGGCAAAGGTGGGGAAGGGCTAACCCAGCACTTGGTGGTGAGGCTTCCTCTCCTATATAGGTCCTCCCTGTGTTCCTGCAAGGGGGGATTGAAGGGGGCAGGGCAAGTTTCCTTGTCTACCCCCCTCCCCTCCATCTGCTCCTGGCACACCAGGGCACTGGTGCAAGTGAAGCACCTCTGCTATGGCAGCGGTGCTTATGTCACCACGAGGCCTCATCATGAGGCCTGGCCTGCTCCATTTGTTCTGCACGAGCCCGTGGTCCTTAGAAACTTAATGTGGCCCCAGGGCTGCTCCTGTTCTCACTTCCCTATTTCTTGTTGCCAGGATGGGAATCCATGGCCTGGCCAAGCTGATTGCAGACGTGGTTCCCAGTGCCATCCGGGAGAATGACATCAAGAGTTACTTCGGGCGGAAGGTGGCCATTGACGCCTCCATGAGCATCTACCAGTTCTTGATTGCCGTGCGCCAGGGGGCTGATGTGCTGCACAACGAGGAGGGCGAGACTACCAGCCACCTGATGGGCATGTTCTATCGCACCATCCGCATGGTGGAGAACGGCATCAAGCCGGCCTACGGCTTTGATGGCAAGC